GGGTCAGAAGCCGACGTGCGCGGGCAAGGCAAAAGTGTGAGGAGGGGGGGCCGGTGGCCAACGCGCGGGTGCCACCAGGGGGCGGCGGGCGGGGAACCGGTCACGGACGGGAGCTGGCGCGCACGGGTAGAGGCGGACGGGAGGCTTTGGGGGGAACTGGCTACGGAGGGGAGGCAGGCGACATCGGTCCGCACGGGCGAGACATGGCGCGTGTGTCGATGCACAGCCATGGCGGGGAAGCGGTCATGGACGGGAGGCGGTGCGCACGGGTGGAGGTGGACGGGGCGCTTTGCGAGCCACGGATGGGAGGTGGGCTGCGACGGTGCGCACGGGCGTGACGCGTGTCCATGCACAGCCATTGCGGGCGGACAAGGGAGAAGAGTGAGCGGGAAAGAGGCGGAAGGTGGGCCAGAGAGGGAAGAAGGGTGCGATGTGCATGCGTATATAAGAAGGGGTGGCATGCCAGACATGCCAGATCGCGAGCACGTGTTTGGGAGAACACGACTGGTGCGAGCCGGTGCAGAGGTGAAGATCGCGAGAACGTCTGTGTGGCCGTGCAAAGAGCGGAAGACGCGTGTGCGGAAGAAGAGCTTGCCGTGCAGCGCGCGCACACGTGGCAGTCCACGATAGCGTGCACGCCATGGTGTAGCCAGAACAGGAGATCTAGAGGTAAAGAGGGGAGTGTGGCATCGACGTGGGCGTGAAGCGAGCTCCGCAGTGGAAAAGTGGTGACCGTGGTGTGTCAGAGAACGACACGAACGTGGTGCACCGTGGCGAGGGGGAGCAGACGCAGGCGGGAAAAAAGCGTGGCGATGGCGGATCGAGGTACGCCAGTCTCTCTCTCTCTCTCCCCCTCTCTCTCTCTTTTCTCTCTTTCTCTCTCTCTCTCTGCCTCTCTCTCTCTTCCGAGGACGGTGCGCATGGGCGGGATGTGACGCGCGTGTCCGTTATGAGGATGATGGAATCTCGCACACACACACACACACACACACACACGATTCATTCCGATTTTTGCTCAAAAAGTGGCAGTCTGTATTTCCACGCTTCAACGGAAGATATGGACGGAAGTGGCAGCGGCGAGGTCGGGGAATTGTCGTCTCTCTCTCTCTCTCTCTCTCACACACACACACACACACACACACAAATTCATTCCAATTTTGCGCAAAAAGTGGCGGTGTATATTTCCACGTTTCAGCGGAAGATTCATTCCATTTTGTCTTCGACTCCTGGGCTGACCTCGCGCTGTTCACATCGTGTTGATTGAATCGTCTGCTGGGAGGGGGAAAGAAAGAGAGAGACAGAGAGAGAAAGAGAGAGAGAGATCACCCCGCATCAAAATACATCGATAATATCGCCTTCTGGTCAAAGTGGCGCTAGAGCGGTGGTGTGCATGGCAAAAACAACATCTACTACGGGAGCGACGTCCCACTAGCGAAGAGGATTGGATTAA